TGGGCATGGGATTGATGGTAACGAAGTCCGTTTGCATGTTTATACTTCTTGCTGCAATCTTGTTCTGGACACTCGAGTAGTACCGGCGAAATGGCGCACGGCGATGCAGTCTTACATTTCTTCGTGCTTATTTGTACATTAAGACCAGTCACGGGGTTGACGAGGCTTTGGGGCTGCGTAGCTAGGCCACCGCCACTTGCAGAGATCGGAATACCACTGGCGTTCGCTACATTAGTAGGACATTCAGAATCGCCGTTAATAGGCGACGGCGACTCATCTTTTGATTTCCGCTTCTCAGAACGTGGAGGTAAAAATGCTGTTGGTGATGTACTGGGCGTAGCTCCCCCACCGTTACCAGATGATGAGCTACTGGTTATTGTTGTAGTATTTGCAGTACTTGTGGCACTAATCGCTGTTCGCGAAGCACCACGACCACCTTTCGTTGTACCATTCCTCAATTTTGAATGCACCTGCGCGTGGGAGAAATATATCTACAAATCATATTGAAATTTGGTTAGAGTCGAAAGTGTGTGACAGTGTAAGTGCCTTAGGTACTTACAGAACTTCTAGTTTCGGTAAAATTACTTAAATCCGGTGTAAGCGCAGCACTCCTTCCGCGCTTTCCACGACCTTTCGGAGTTCGAGAATCCAGTTCTTCAGTTGGCGAATCACAGAATCTAAAAGAATGCAATCAAGCGAAGAATTTATATTTCTGTGTGCGCTAAGCTTTTCGATAGCGGGAACCATATAAACTACGGGCAGAGGGAAGAAATTTTAACATCGAAAAACTGCAGTCACAAAGGGCGCCCTTCGTAAGGAATCTGAGCATGCATAATACTCAAATGGCACTAGAGAGGGGATATTCATGGAGGATTATTACAATACCAAATGCTAAAATTTGAGTCTTATGCCGGTCGCATTGTGGGATTTTCTTTATTTTGAAGTGACCTAATATATGTATGTATACATATGTATATGTGTACAGTCAGTCAATAAAGTTTAGGTACAGCGAAATTTTTACACAACGGGCAACTATTTTTTAAATATTTTATTTTTCGATAATTTTCTATAAATATATGGTTAGTTCTACAACAAAAAACCAAAAAATCAGAGTTCCAAACCTTATGCAAAACTTAAGAATATTTTGCAAAATTTCATTAAAATATTGCACTTTTTATTTACGCTCTCTAGAAAAAAGTTGAGTACGAAGTTTTTTAGCCCATTCAATTTTAGTATAACAAAGTGCAAGTTTGAGGTAGCTAGGACTTATCATTGATTTATAGCATTTTTTTTTGTTGAAGGTGTCGCCCATTTTCACCATATAAAATAATGTTTGATAATTTTTTATATGGAAAACAACAACAAAAAAATTCCCCAAAAATCAATGGTAAGGCCTAGCTTCCTTATACTTGCACTTTATTATACTAAAATTAAATGGGCTAAAAAACTGCATACTCAACTTTTTCCTAGAGAGCGTACATAAAATGAACAAAAAATTTGCAGAATTTTCTTTAATTTTGCACAAGGTTTGGAACTTTGATTTTTGGGGGTTTTGTTGTAGAATTAACCATATTTTTTATAAAAAATTAGCGAAAAATAAAATATTAAAAAAAAAAGTCTCCCGTATTGTTAAAAATTCGGTGTACCTAAACTTTGTTACTGACTGTAGGTATGAAATTTGTTAGCGAAAAAAAAAATCATTGTACTTTTTTTAGTGGTTAATAAAAATCATATACGCCTTCTCTTAATAATTATATGGGACTTTTATTTTTTCGTCTCTCCGGACGTTTATTTTAAAACGGAAATGATTTACGTCCTACGTTTTCTCTTAATAGAAGTGCAATACGTACAGCCGATTTCACGAAATTAAACGCAAGTATCTCCGAGCCCCATTATTTGAATTAGATTTTCTTACATCTGGCAACCCTTTTGAAAACACTAAAACCACGTAAAAGAAAGGCCTTTAATTTGACACCTTATTTTTGAAAATGGAACGAACGAGCAGATACAGATATTTAACGCGTTAAATCCCCGACCTCAACTAAGAAGTTTCATTTCAATAAAAGTCCCATATAATTATTATGAGAAGACGAAAATAATTTCCATCGTAAGATAATTATAAATAAATAGGTGAATAAAAAATGAACAATCGACCCCCGCACCACCTAACGGTCAAATTTTTTGTAGAGTTATTTCTTTCCACTTAAGTAATCCTGGGGATTTTTTATATTAAATGGCGGAATTGAGCTGTCAAAAAAGTGTCAAACAGCTTTTTCGAAGGTCAAATTTCCTCCTCCCAAATTTTCGGTGAAAATGCTACTCCCTGGGAGTTAATTATTGGAGGATTTCTTTCTCGGGAGAAACCAGTTCCCGGAGAACAGACTCCGAATTGGGCTGATATTGTATCCTAAAGTAAACAACAAGCCTGCAAAATATTAGTCTTTTATTTTAATTGTAAGAGCCCGCGCATCGACCGCTAAGTGACACTGAGCGCACTAGTCGAATAAGACCAATTCTTGTTAAAAATTATGTGTTCAGCAGAAGGGTTAGCCTATCGTTAATCTCAAACTTATATTTTTTCAATACAATTTTAATTGTTCTCTTGATAATTGCACTGGCCCATATTCAAAAGATGTAAAGAACAGCATTAATATTGCTGGAGTGCATTTAGGACCGCTGGTTCCAAATATTCTAATCTTTTTTTTTAATATTAGCTATAGTTTGTGGATTTTTGCAAATTTATGAACTATGCCATTATTTTCCATCACCGTGGAAAAATTTGTTTATGCAAACGAGTATGGAAACACTGAACAGGCAGAACTTTTAGAAAACTAATTAGTTTACTTATGTTTATGCATACAATACGAAAATTGCAAATATAGGAAGTTGAAAAAAATTTTTGTTCAACATTTTTATTTTATTTTTAAATATTTTTTTTATAATCTGTAACAGTAAGTGCCGCCTTCAATTTGGTAATTATTCCTTACGGATCGAGCAATATTTACCAAAGTTAGGTGGATATCTAGTTTTTTCATACAAAAATTGCTTTTCATTTGTATAAATAACTTTTAAATGAAAGAATCGGATTACAGAATAGTGTGCCATGGTGTGACTTTTTTCGCTCAAGCTGATTACAAAGAGTCCTCAAAAGTAAATCCCAGGATGTGTTAAAGACCATTGCATTTAACAACAGTCACTTTTTCAAATTTAGAAATCGCGAAAAATGTGCTTCTTCGGTGACTAATGAAACCATTCTTCTCCAATTTTTAAAATTGCATAAATGGACTTAAAATGGACGTGTCTCACCCTAATTGTATTTTGTTGTGCTTGAAACTACTATTAACTCATCAAACGATTTCTAATCTTTGACAATACATCTTTGACTTCATTCACCACGAATCTTCAAACTGACAATATCGGCGTTACCAAGTCCGTGGTCCTTTTTTAATATTATATAAACATCCGAAAACCTGAAAACTTGGAAATGGATGTCGTGTCCCTTTTTTACATTTTTCACTTGGTTGCTGAAGTAATGAAGAATTGTGAATTCACAAGGGAAAATTATAGTTTTTGAAATTTTGTCTTAATATCTTAAAAACTGGTAGTCTTATTGAAAAATTATATATGAACGTGAGAAACTAAATTCAATAACCTCTAATTTTATATATCGTCCTGTTTATAATAATTAACGAATTCCATAAATATTACCACCCAAAGTTTCATATAAGTTTTAAATTAATCTTTGGTGCCAATAACAATTGGCTTAGACCTAAGACAACATAATAATACAATGCATTTTATTATCCCCCATACAGAATCAACACAGCCTAACATGCACTCCCTCAAAATGGCAATAATACAGCACCGCACCAGAATTACTGTCGCACCTGTAAAATTTCGTTTTATATTTTAATACTAACAGAAAAGGTTATGCCTTTTTCTCATATATATACGCTCTTACTATTTCTTCACAACTTACCTGGGTGGAGCCCAATCGTGTCGTGTGCAGTCAAGCAAAGTTCCGACATAAGTCTTGCCGCGCCAAGTAACATTCACAACTAGGACGCCGCCTTCGGTTTCGTGCCAAACGATTCCCTCAAGCGTTACGGAAGTTCCCGGTTCACAAGGACCCAAGCAATCTGGTTCTGTGATAGTTCCGACTGAGGTGCCAATACAGATGTCAACCATTTCCTTGGTTGAAGTACCAGGTGCATGGGAAGTGTCAGTGTTGCCATGTTTTGCCCGCTTGGCGGGAGGAGATTTTATACCATCTTCAGCTACTAAATTATTGTTAGATGTGCTACTATTACTAGATGATGCCGTTGTTGTACTAGTGGAAGAGTTCGCGGGAACTGAAATTGTGTGGTGCACGGTCGCTGAGATCACACCTGGAGCCATAAGTTTTGCTTGCGCAACAGGAACCATTGAAGTGCTTGACTTACTCTCGCTGCTTCCGCTCAAGCTGTTTGCATGCGTGTTTGGTACACTATTGCTAAAAGAAGTCGAAGCCGCTGCTGCAGCCAATTGCGCTGCAATGTGTGAAGAGATTTTGATGTTACCACAATTAGTCGAGTCCTTGCCCGGTGGACCAGGCGCGTTTGGCGCGCTGTTGCTGCCAATTGCCTGCGGTGCAGTTGCCGATGCTACAGATGTGGCTGCGAGCAAAGATGCTGCTGTTGCTGCAGCTGTTGTCACCACACCGGCGGGTGAGCCAAGCGATGGCGTGAATACACCTGGTGGCACAGATCCAGATGTAGAATTGCTATTTCCAGTCGTGTTGCATATGCGCTGCTGTGTCAAAACTGTAATGGATGAATTGGTTGCACTCTCCGAACGACGAGAGCATGCATGGCTACTGCAAGCACCAGTCGCACTCCCGCTAGTGGCATCAATGATGCAATGGCATGTCATGCCCTTGTCGCTATGACCAGGCAAGCCTTCTTTTTCAGAAGCAGCAGAAGCATTCTTCTCTGCTGTGAGACGATTGGAATGTGTAGTTTTTTCTTTAGCTTTTTCTCGTCTGTGACCTGAGCTACCACGCTTGTTACTCTGAGGAGTTACTTGACCGCTACTCCCGGTACCGGTGGACCCACCTCCAGAGGCCGGGCTATTACTGTTTATACTATTGTGACTATTTCCTTGGCTACCACTACTACTACTGGAAATATTGCTAAGATGTTTTTTATTGCTGCCGCTTATGCTGCTAACATTTGATCCTGAGCCGCCAGCGCTACTTCCCGTATTTTGATTGGATCCACCTGAGCCACTCGCGCCACCTGATGACGACGATGAATGCGAGGTAGTATTGAGTCCACTATTCTCATCTAAGTTACTAGAATTATTAACGCCTAAAGAACCATTCTGTTGCTGCTGTTGTTGTTCTGTAGCTTTAACAATTTCATGCTTTGCTTCGGAAGTCTTGGTTCCAGGCTTAGTCCGTTTAATTTTCATTTTAAGTCCCTTGTCTAGCGTCGCCTGATGATCAATGGACATTTTCGCATTCGATTTCCCACCACCAGAGCCTCCAATACCTTGGGAGCCACCTTGACCTCCCCCGGCTCCACCGCCCACACTACTGTTATTACTGCTGCTTCCACTGGATTGGGATGACATGCCGCTTGCGGATTGATTTGATAAATTCGATAGCGAATCGGTTTCTAATGCGGTGGTAAGATTTGAGGAACCAGCGGATGCGCCTGAGGGTATGAGGGACTTTGTAAATGACGAGACGAGATTACCTCCTTTTGAAAACCCAGCAAAGGTGGATAGTGTTAATGTATTACTCTTCTGGCCGCTTTCGCTATTACAGCTAAATGGTGCGGTAAGTGCAGATGCAGATGCAGATGAAGATGATGATAACGATGGTGATAGTGACGAGGGTGATTTGGTCGGCGCAGAAGCAACTTTACTGGTGGGACCGCTATTCACAGATTGTTCTTCAAAATTTGATATTTGAATTTGTTGTTGATTTTTATGTTCGCTAGGCTGTTGTGGATACTTTCTACCAATATTGGATAATGTCGCTGAATTATTTATCGACTTATCGACTACGATGCCACCCACATATTTGTTTGTGTTTCTGGATAGTGGAACTGTTTGCGAACATTTAGTTGATGGTGCAAATTTTTCATTCGAGCTCGCTGGAAACGACGACACCGATGCAGTCAACGATCTTGACAATGGCGAGGGCAGCAACTTGCCAATTGACGATGGTGAGGGTTTTTGCAAAAGGTTGTCGGGGTGGGCGATATTTGCCTTATTCGACGTTGTGGATTTAGTTGCTGATTTAAGGGTACTTGTGATTGCTTCAAATTCACTTTTGCCACCACCAGAACTGTTTACTTTCGATAAATTTTGAGCTGCAGTAGATGATTTTTCAATGTCTGCGTCTAGATCATCCAACAACTCTGGAATGCCACCAATGTCCCATTCGTCTTCGTACTCGAAATTCGCGTTCGTATCCTTCGTGGCTTCGCTGGGAGTGGAGGATGAGCAATATGCTGTCACCGACGACAGTGGGCCCTCTTTAGTTGCACTTACATGAAGGGGTTTCCCTGCTGGTTTAGGCAAACTCCAACCCTTAACGCTGACACTAACTCCTTCGCTTGATTGTGGTAAATTTGATTTTGTTGGGCCAAGGTTTCCTAATAAATGTAGATTATAAAAATATTCAATCCTTCTATTCTTAGAGGTAGGTACATACATACATACAGTGGTGGATAAAATAATAGAAACAAAAAACGTTGACGAGTATTGGGTATTTTTCTTATGTTTATTTGAGGCCATGAGAGCAGAAGTGGCCTAACCGATTTTTTTTTTTTTTACTGACCTACTTAAAATAGTCTCAAATTTAATAAATTTAAGAATAAAAGTCGCTTATTCCTTAATTTTAAGGTACAAGTCACACAGAATACCATCAATTTAAGGAATATGCCACGTTTATTTAGAAATATCACATTTGAAACTATTTTAGGAATTTAAGTAAAAAAACCAATGCGAGTTACGCCAGTTATTTGAGGACCAATTTTTTCTGCGCATCCGCACATTTGAATGTGCCTTACCTAAGGAATTTTCTTGAGGGGACATTTAAGCAAAAATCATAGCAAAAAACTTGTACAAGTTGGTACCAATTGTTACCCAGTAAAACTTGCAAGCAGAGAACACAATTTTGACATTTCATTTGGAAGGGAAGTTGCAAATTCGTGCTGGGAAAATTTCCTCCGATAATTTCTTTAGAGTGCTCTTATACAATTCGCCCAGTGTTGATTCCAGCTACAGTGCTGTATTTAACGAATTTAAACATATTTTTGACGACCTGTGTGAATCACTTGAGTCACCGAATCTACATATATGTAGGTCATTCCGTTGAAAAGAGGAAACGACATTAATTTATATATGCCCTAATTATCTCTATTTCAGTAGTTACATCTTTTTAAATGACTACATTTCAATAATCTGTTGGAAAATATTAAAAAAAATCAAAAGAAGTTGGAATTTTTATCAATGGAAACTTTTATTGCATTCATAATTACTTTACACCAGTCACAGAGAGATGTCCTACCAGTGACAACTTTAAATATTTTCAAGTATTTCTATGAAGATTATATAAACCTCATTTTTATTGAAAACGAAAGTGTACATATTATTCATATTTTACAACACAAAAACACCGTTCGTGAAGATTAAGTGTTTTGCGAAAATTCATCTTTGAGTGCACAAGGACAAAATAGAGTTCTTTTCATTGCCCCGCCAGTCACATTAATTCAAATGATAGTTACAAAAAAAACTAAGAAATCGTTTGATATTTTTGCTAAACAATTTTATACATTAGTTATCGTTCTATGTTAAAAAATATCCTTCGCTGTTGTACAAGTTCCAACATCGCTAAAATTCACAATTGGCCACATATAATAACTAAGACAAATTGCAAAAAGACCAACCTAGCATGGGCGGCTATCAAAACCACGTACACATCAATTTTTAATGACAATAAGAAATCTAACTTTCGCATTTTTTACACCGATGCATCTGTTGCGACCTTTTGCCACAGGGTGCGGAGTTTATACCTACACGGAGTACACCTTTAAAATAAACTTTTGCGCGTGTTCAACCTATGGCGAATTAATAGCCATTGTTAAGGCCCTGCAAATTGCCAAAGATACCGACTCTTTAGCAAAAACAGCCGTCAACCGTGATAATACCCTAGAAGTTAAGCTTACGATCGAAGAGGCTCTAACAAGCATACGTAAAAAAATTGCTCAGCTCGCTGAGTTTTTAACAAAAATTTAAGCAAAATTTTAGTTTATAAGCTTTAAATTCAAGACTCAACTTATCACAGGTGTTAATACCGTTCACCTCACTCATTTCCCCCTATCCCATCCCCCACATTCAATTCTCACCATCATCAAAAATTGCTCACGAAAAACATATGATCACATAAGCACGAAAAAGCATCACATCCGACATTAGGTTCCGGCAACCACCTCGCAATTGCGCTGTTGACGTAACGTCCTCAATCATCTACATCGTATAATAATACACTGTAAAGAAGAGGGATACCCTGGCGTATGGGCAACCGCCAATTAACTCACAAGTCCAAAAAAAAACATTTCTCGAAATTAAAAAATTTCTTATTAAATTTTATATCTTTTTAATCGAAGTTTTTAGACAAATTCTGAGTATGCAGTTTTGCAGCCGATTCAATTTTAGTGTGTAAATGAAACGTGCATATTATTATACTAGAAAACTGCATACCTCTGATTAAAAAAAAAAAAAAAGTACAAAGTCTGAAATGTTGATTTATGTTGACTTATGTCCGGTTTTATGTAATGATTTAGACTTTTATAAAAAATTATTAAAATTAAATAAACAAAAGAAAAATATCCAAACTCGCCAACTTTTTTTATTTATAGTTTTATACATATTTTAAAACAGTGCAACAGCGAAAATTTACTATCGAATAATTATTATCGTTTTATTATTTTCGAACACCCTGAAATTCTCAACTTTTCATAAACAAAGAACAGTTTAAGATGATTTCGCATATTTATCTCTTCTCTTAATATTGTCTATCATTTTCTGTGTATAATTATGAGAAACTTGATTTTACCGCCTTGTAATTAATGTCGAAGTTTCATTAGTTTTCCATAGATTATAATAAATTGTACCTCGTTTTTTCGTAATACTTTCAATATACTTTAATAATAGCAAAACATGTTTTTTATATAAAATTTTAGGCAAAATACAGAACAAATACAGAAATGTTGGTGTTTATACCAGAGAACGCAGAGAACCTATAGCATACGTATCGGTATCGTTTAAGGCAAAATCAGTAGTCAACGACCTAGTGTAAACGTATGTTGACGTTGACACGATCCACCTCATGGGATTTGCGTGTTAAGGCCCTGTCTCCATAGGAAAACACTGATGTCGTGATAACCATGTCACAAAATATATTTCCAATGGACACCGCCTATTTCTCATGGGCTGCAATATATGTCAGCGCTTATTGCTTGACATCTATTGCAGGCAATTTGATAGTTGGACAGCCATATTTTCATTTGAAAGAAAGCGTGCTGGTGGTAACACCAATGAAATTTTGTTATTAAATAAAAATAAAAATATGTTCCCTATTGGATTATTTATGATTACGTTTTAGGAAATTATTCAGCAAGTTTTTTAAAGATTTAAATGTTTTAAATACGGAAATTGAGAGAATGTTGTCTGGTGGCGTCATGCGGCAAATGCTTATTTCAAGACATCAAAGAGCCCACACACAAAAACTTGCAATCATATTGCTCGTCAAAATGACAGTTGGTAGGCCATCGGTGTCGGTGTTTGCCTGTGGAGTTCTGCGGTAACAAAAACTCACCACCGCATGACGGTGACGTTGCCGTTGCTTCTCTCTCTCTCTCTCTCTCTATCGACAGTAAATTTAATAAGTTGCTACGTACGTTTACGCTACGTCGTTGACTAATTTCGCCTTTAGTTTCGGTTATACAAGGTAACGAAACACAACCGATTCAAAGCACTCAATTGAATGCAGAAAAATTTACTGAAGCAGTTGAACCATTTCTCTAACTTCATAGGCAACATTCATTTGTTTTGTTTCGGTTTTGCTCAGGATGAGTACCTTTACCACAATCGAAACTAGGGTTTCGAATGTCATATTTTTCACATTCGCTAATGGGAATGCGAATGTTAGGAATAACATTAAAAAAAGCTATAATCATTTTAAGTCATCGTTTTTATTACTTAAAAATTATATAAATTATTAAAACATCGAACGAGTGCTTAACCTATACAGTGTTTTAATGTAGTAGTCAAAATTCAAAAGAGGCATAATATTTCAAAAAAGTTATTTTGCAATTTCTTAGAGGCTCGTATATAAGGCCGACTGCACTGAACAATTGCTCACTTGGAACGCTGGCGGCTGGAGCGCTCAAATACTTGCGGGCCAGATCTGTCAATTTGTCGTATTTTAGTTTAGTTTTCCACCAATCGAGAGGATTTTCACCGAGATGAGCTCGTTTTTCTTTGCGTATTTTTTAATGTTTCCAGATACATACATACGAGCCTTCGCTTTCGCTGGAGGAATCTAAAAGTATCTCTAGGTTGCTTATAAGACTTTTAGCAGTACTTGTTGAAGGCCCATCAATGTTGATTGATATACTACTTAACCGTTTAGCGCCTGAAGCTAAAAGCTGATTATTGTTCGCACCCTGGTTAGACAGACTTACCGCCCAATTCTGTATTTTCTTGACAAATTATTTGTAAAGAAATTTTATCAAGATTTTTATCAAGTAAAAGCTCCCATCGCATTTAATTTATAAAACAAAAAAAGCTCTTGACTGTTGTTGCCGAGTAGGTAGAGGTGTCGGCTATAAATTCTGTGTGTCCTAGGTTCAACAGCCGGCACATTCAGTATTTAAATGATAGAAAAAACATTTTTAATATATGTACATCATTTATAATGTTCATATGAAATTTCAATTTGGAAACGCTTGTCAATAGCATTTTCAATCCTGATAATTTATCAAGAAAAGAGCTTTATACTACATTCAAATTGACGAGCTAAACATGTTAAATGGGCTTGAACCAGTTAAATGAACAAAACATGTTCATAAACAAGTTAAATCGCATGCAATTGTTGTTGGAAAATGAGCCAGTTAAATCATTTAACTCGTTTGAAAACCAGTTCAGCGCAGAGTTGTATCAGAAAGCTTTCTGCTCCGGCCAATCAGAAGGACCCAAAAGCTTTCATTTGACACACCAAAGTTCAAAAATTTTAAATTCTGAAAAATATTAAAAATTAAAAATTATCAAAAAGTACCAAAATTGTATGCATGTCTGCCCACTAAAAAAGAGGCCAAGGCAGTAATTAGTTATTGAGTTATGAGGTCTCATCGTACGCAGAGATAAATAGGGCATACGAACTAAATATTTTGAAGTATCTAAATAATCCGTATGCATTAATATCATGAAGCAGACATTCGCACAAAACAAATTGAAATACAAAAACTTGATCAAGGCGAATTAATATAAGGTAGGATAGCAGGCGTACAAAAACAAAAATTTACATGTACCCTGAAAACCAAAGTTCCCGAAATCTTAACGAAATCTTTAGGAGTATCTGATTTCTGTAACGATTTTTTTCCGAATCTTCAAAGAAAATTATATGAAGTGGTTGACACGAACTCGTAAAGAAATTTCTGTACGAAAAATAAAGAAAATTCTGAAAAAAGTCTGCCAGAAATTCTTCACATAGCAGCATTATTTTCATTTCTTCACCGATTTTCTTCCGAAATTTCGTAAAAGAATGGAAGTGTGCGTAATTTATTTCATTTTAGAAAATTCGGATGAAAATCGGATGGGATCTTTCCGAATTCGTTAAAATTTCTTTACGATTCAGAATACTCTGAAAAAATGGTTTCCAGGGTATTTTGTTTTTGCTTTGGCGACACCCAACAAGCATTTCAGTAAATGTTTTTAAAAATAACTTAAAGTAAGTTTGCTATAATGAGCGTTAAATAAGCATTTTTAATATTAAGCTTATTTAAAGTTTTTTCAAATAAACCTTTAACAAGTTTTGACAGCGAATGTTTATAAATAACTTAAACTTATAAATGTAATGCAAATGCCAACGACATGAAGTAGTAAATATAACATTTTTCAATCGTAAGTGACGTGTTTACGTTTTTTAAAATATATTATTAAAAAGAAAAAAATTAAATAAAACCGATGCGGTAAAAAAAAAAATCCAATCCAGTACCCGCGGTGCTAATCGGTGGAGCATTCCAGTCTTCAAATGATGAGTTCTCCTTATCCTTTCTTAGTTTAACATTCAATTAAAAATGGCGGCGATAAAGCGGAATATATAGCTGCATCGATGTCGTTTTTCCAATTTGCCAATAACCGCACGTAATTGAAAGCAAAGCACGCAACAAGATGTAATGATTTACTTTTTTTATGCTTAATTTTTGTGTGTTATCGTGAATTTGTATGCTAAAATGTCTATTCCCTATTTATATTTTCGCGACTGTAGATGAGTCCGCCAAAAATTCGCAGTTCTTTTAGTTTCTAGATGTTAAGCAATCTATGTATGAGTTTTTATTGAAATATCTTTAAATAAAGGGTTATAAAAATGTTTATAAAAAGCTTTCTTTTGAAAATTTTGAGTAAGTTTATATTGATACGCTTATATAAAACTTTTTTTGAACCTTTATTATAAGTTTACACTTTTACGCTTATAAAAAGCTTTCTTTTGAACATTTATTACAAGTTTATATTTCTACGCTTATAACCAATGTTCCTTTTCGATTATATTACGCTTACTTTCAAGCGTTTTACAAACAAAAAATCAACGTTTTGTAAGCTGCTTAATGTTTATAATTGAAAACTTAAAGAAAAAAACTTTCTTTAAGTTTATTTTGCTTGTTGGGAATTTTTCAATTTGATATCAGAAGCCGTGCGGCGAAACACAAACACAAAATCAGCTGAGCTAGTAACGCCACCTTATATAAATTCGCCTTGAACTTGATTTTGAATTTATTTTTCAATTTTTTTTGTTGGTAATCAAACAACCGTCAAAGTAAACTCCAAATGTTCAATGTGGATGATTGTGTTTTCCAAAAAGCTCTTGTTCATCAAACAAGTTAAATGGGGCCAATTTGAACGTAATATTAGATTTCTGTGCTAGAATTCCAATTCTTGATATATGATAAAAAATTGACAAATTAAACAAAATTTTTATTTATCAAGTGCACAGAATCGAGCTGTTAGAGCCATTTCAACAATATTAGAGGGGCCTCTCTGCCCATGTAGACATTCGCATTCGCAAAAAATTCGCATCATTGGATGCGTATGCAAATATTCGCAACATCCCTGATCGAAACCATTATTGTTAGCGCTCGGGAACAGTATGAGAAAAGGAACACAACTTTTTGTACTTGTTTGGGAATGGGTAGTGAGTGATACGTTCGGTTTGTTTTCGTACTCTGGTTTATACATCCATTTTTTTAAATTTAAACTGCTTATAAAAAAAAAAAACTAAAACACAAATGGCGATGTCTGCATAGTCATGGGAAACTGTTTTTTATAAATGAGTGGTGACTTTCAGGGTGTTGGAAAAATTGTAAACGCAGATTTCTAATTCCCTTTCTGCCCTTCAAACACAAATTTTGTTCTGAGAAAATGTGTTTGAAAGCCAGATAAATTTGAAAACCTACTTGAGAAAACGGCACTTACACTTTTATTCGGGCCCTTAAAAGACCTTGCAGTATTCTCGTTTTTTTTTTTTAGACATTTTCGGTCCAAGAAAGGCCCGATTATTTTTTTTTTTTTTTGGAAATGCGTTTTTTTTACATAATTTTTTGGTTTGATGACAGATGCAGTCATACAAGAATTCTAAGCCTATCTTAAAAAGTTGGGAATTTATTGGCATCTTTCGAACAGCATCTTTGAAAGCATTTTATATGCATATTTTAAAGGTTTTTTTCCTTCTGCTGAAATATTTTAAGTTAATCAAATAGGGCCCGGCCCTTTGCGTTGATGGTGAGTGACGATATACATACATATATGTAAATATATAAATAATGTTGAGCTTACTTGAACTTGCCACTTTTCTGTTTGCGTTGTGTTTCGTATTATTTTGGTATTGATGTTGCTTATGAGAAGACGTATTCAGTTTCTTGTTTAAGTTAGAAGCAGCTGAAATCGGCGTACTACTACTGCTTCCTACCAACTTGTTGTGCTTAGTGCTTTCCGTAACTACGCTGCTATTAGTGGCCACCTTTTAAAAAAAGAAAAATATAAAATTACCAAAATTGTAACATCTATGTTTGTATATTAGGGCTGTGCGATTAATTGATTATTCAATATTTTAATTAATCATAAAGTAAATAACTCATTATTCGATTAATTGAAAATTGTGATTACTCAAAAGTTCAGTTACTCGAGTAATCAAGATTTTGATTAACCAAAAACAAAAATTGTTGAGTAATTTGCTTTATGATTAATCAACATTATGAGTAAAATGAGTAATCAACATTTCAAAGTATTCTTTAAATATAAAGTAGTTGAAGTTCCTTGATACTTTGAAAACAACGTTTTTGTTTTCAAAAATTAAAATGATTTTTTTTTTTCATATACAGATTGTAAAAAAGAAAATAAGCATTTTCCAAAGCAAACTCTTTTAACGAGCAAAATGAATTTTTTGAGCAATCATATTTTAAGTAACTCGATTAATCATCGTTTTGGATAATCAAAATCTTGATTACTCGAGTAATTGATTAACCGAATATCTGATTAACCAACTTGTATATGGTATATGTATGTATAAAAATGGCATTGGCTTAAGGTTATATTTCCACGATCCATGATGAGCTTGGTATCGCACAACCCGGATAATCGACATTCAACTGCAACATTAAAGGAACTACATATGTACCAATGTATGTGTTCAATAATATTAGATGTTAAGACATTAATATGGCAGCGCTTGAATCATTCGATAGTTTGAGAAAAGCGTCTACTTAACGATATTTGATAGTTGAGTTGTGAACCATAATAGGGGCCCCCTAGTTTTCTGGCAGTTGTCAGACATAATTCGTAATTGATTTCCATTGTTGCTTTTCATTATTTTAATATCATTAAAATAACATAATAGTATTAAAATATCAAATTTGTATCGAATCTCCAAATCTTCCAATGGCCATAGTCAACTGAGAACCAGTTGCGAACGGCAATAGCAATAATTAGTTGAGTTGTCTCAAACACAACTCAACTAAGTTGATCATAACCATAATAGGGGCCTAAGTACATGTTTAAGGTAGCTCTATACTTACCTTTTTTTTGGCAAAGCATGTTCGACAATTTTTTTATATGGAAGAAAATAGGCTTCAACAAAAAAATTGCTCAAAATCAGCGGTAAGTCATAGCTTCCTCAAACTTGTATTTTTTATACTAAAATTGAATGGGCTACTCG